TGGCCCCCAGCCAAAATAGAGTGCCACTGCACCGCCTCCTTTCTAAGCCCTTCAGCCACCCCACGGCCCCTTTTCCTCATTGCTTTGCAAAGCACCTCTCCCAACACACTCTCTCTGACCCCTAAACAACCTTCCCTCTCTGCAGAGCTCTGAGTAGGCAATCTGAATAGAGGCCTTTGATCACTTATTTCTTTAACATTCCTATCTCGAACACCTACATACTTAGCATCGTGTGAGGTCCAAGGTGAATAACAGTTCCTGCCTCAGGGTGCTCACTGTCATGAAGGGCTAAAAAGCTTAAACTTACTGTTGCAGATTGAATTGCGTCTCCCCAAAATATGTGTTGGATTCCTTGACCTTTTACCTGTGGATGTGATCCTGTTTGGAAGTAGGGTTTTCTTTCGTTATGTTAACGAGACCATACCAGTTAGCATGGGTCCTAAACCTAATCACTTCTGAACTATAAAAAGACCAGAATAGACACAGAGACACACACACAGGGGAAGACAGATGCTGTGGGAGGATTGTCTATAAGCCAAGAAACGCCAAGGAACCAAGGAATGCCTGGAGCTACCAACAAGGAAGGAATCGATATGGCCAAGACCCTAATTTGGACTTTCAGCCCCCAGAACTGTGAGGAAATAAATTTCTGTTCTTTAAAGCCACCCACTTGTGGTGTTTGTATTGTATCCGCTATTCAGTAGCACTAGGTAGCTAAGACACCTACTTACAGATTTTGGAAGAAGTGCTTGTTAAACAAATAAATCTCCCATTGGTAGAATCACCCGAGAGGAGGTATTTTTGATCGCAGGTGTTTTCTTACGCTCCCCTTGTCTTCCCACAATGGTCGTCTCTGGGCGAGAATCAACCTGTGGGCCATTTAGCCATAGCAAGTTTCTTTCTATCCCTGACTCTCTCTTCAGAAAGCTGCACCTCCTACAGTGTCTAATGATGCCATGGGGATTATCAGTTCTCCCTCCCTCACACCTACAAACACAAGCCTCTTTCTCCTCATAAACCTTCTCTCCCTAGAGGGTTGAGTTCTGCCTGATGCCTCTAGATAAGGTTTTCTTCATAATTCTTCCACTACCTGGGCTGCCCTCTAACGTCCCCAATCATGCTATCTTCTTTGCAGGCGGCCACATTAACCCAGCTGTGTCTTTCGCAATGTGTCTCTTTGGGCGGATGAAATGGATCAAATTTCCTTTTTATGTGGCAGCCCAGTTCTTGGGAGCCTTTACGGGGGCTGCAACCCTGTTTGGCATTTACTACGGTGAGTAGAGCCCCTGAATCTGAAGGATAGGGAGAGCTTGGCATAAACTGAAAGTCAGAATTACTTAGCAGAAAGAGGTGAGATAAGGCAAGAACAGGAAGCTTTCTACAATTGACAGGAAGGTTTAAGAATTCTAAGATCTAACATAATGGAGACAATGTTATCATTAGGGTCAATCCATGAAGCTTCTTAATGAAAATGGCAGCATCTCAAATGTGGGGTTGAACTTCAGGAAAGACTGTTTTTAGGCCCAACCAGAATGAAAATGTGAACATGCACCAAATAAGCCATAGGTCAGTGACCTTTCCACTGCTTTCTCTGATTTGACTGGGCGAGGCAAATTGGATGGTGAGTACCTATTTAGAGAAGAACTCTGAGACCAAGTCTCTGAAGCAAGGGGCACAGTAGAGAAATGCGTGGGGACCCTCATCCCTTTCTACTGAATTGCCAGGGCTTCAGTTCTGCAACAGTCCTGGGGGAGAAGCACTGCCCTGGCCGCTGAAGACCCAGATTTCAGTTCTAGCTGTGTCAGCAATCCCTGCAGGATTTCAATAAGTCACCTTGCCTGTTTGGCATCAGTTTTCCTCTCTGGAAAAGGAGGGAATTGAACTAGATGACTTTAAGGCCTTTCACATTAACAAACATGGGGTTCTGTGAAATCAGCTGCTAAAGTAGTTGCCTCCATCTGACTCAAGGTAAGTCTCAGTCTCTTTTGACCCTCAAACGGAAGCTTTCAGGAACTAGAATTTATGAACCAAGCCTTAGAGAAATGGACTGTGGGAAGGAGCCTTCCCCCACAGAGCATCTCTCTGAGAATTCAAGTCTAAGAGGACTAAAGAGGAATCTGAGACCAGAGCAGAAATTCCGAGAGCCCGTGGCTGTGGAGAGAGGCCTGGGTGAGCGCCGGCTGTGCTGGATGGCCTCTCCCCTGTGCAGAGGGCATCTCCATGAGGCCGTGGTGTCCTCACATTCTGGAGTGATATAGAAGGTTCATGAGCACCCTCCGGGAACTATGAATTCTTCCTAGAGCAGGTCTAAACCCCAAGTTGGCTTTCGGTCAGTCTCAAAAATTTGAAGTATTCCCCCAAAAGAAGACTGGTTCCCAGGACCCGCTGGCTCAGACCGTGGTTCAAGTCTGGAGTGGTGCATCAAGGGTAGCCAGGGCTGTCTGTCTCTGACCCACCATCCTCTCTCCCAGGCCTGGCTCCCCAGGACAGCTCTGAAACTATCCTACTGAAGTGGAGAGAGGCAACAACACCGATGTGCCAAGCTGCATCTGAGTGTTGACTGTAATTGTTTAGCACATGGGCCTCCCTCACCCTCACCCGGAGAACACTAACGCGGAAAGCTCTGTCTTCCACAGATGGACTTATGTCCTTTGCTGGTGGACAATTGCTCACTGTGGGAGAAAATGCAACAGCACACATTTTTGCAACATATCCAGCTTCATATCTGTCCCTGGCGAATGCGTTTGCAGACCAAGTAAGTGTATGTTTAACACAGACCTGACTTTGGTGAAGAGACATGATCTGATAATGGGATGTATAGGAGTATTATAGGTCTATCAGAGAGCAAGTCGGGGTTTCCAAAGCCAGAAGTCGCTGGTCATAACCCATGTTCTCTTGACAAATATTTATCTTTGCAGAAGTTGACACTGCTGAAATAGTTTTCTGCTTCCTCATCAATATGTACACTGTTTTCATATCAGTTAAGGTCCAGAAAAGAGCTGGACATTTTGACCTCTTCCAGAGGCAAAGAGGAGGGTTCACTTCACTATTAATATGCTCTCTCTTTTGTGTACCTAGTCTAAACGTGGAGGTCTCAAGAGAAGAAATTTCTGTTTCAACTTAAGAACCATGAAGTGTGGTAGTTGAGCTTGGGGTATCATGCATCCCTGTCTCCCCACGTGCACGGGTTTATCCAAACTCTTAAGGTAGCCGGAAGTGTCTCTCCCTTCTTTGACATTTAAACAATGCTGACATCCAAGTATCTGTGGTGTAGCCATTTTACAACGATCCTGGGCAGTTATGGCAGGATCAACAAGCTCATTGGAGGGGTATCTGTTTCTTGGGTGACATTTATCTCCTTCCCTCTGCCCTTATTTCAAGGTGGTTTATCAGTTTCTCCAGGACCACGGTTTTTTATATGTAGCTAAAGTCGAGAAAACACATTAGAAAACCTCGGTGCTCTGAACACCAGCAGTCCCTGAAGGCTGCATTCCTTGCGTTTTGGGGAGAGATCATAAAAATGCCAATGTTCAGTCAGTTGACCCCCAACGGAACTCCTGGCCACCGTGACCATATTTCTGGGTCACTTTACCTTAAGATTGCTAAATTGTTCACATAGTGTTCAGGCATATTTAACAATTTAATTAATAAACATCCATTCAGCCAACTAACACTGATTGAGCACCTGTTAGGCCAAGTGCACCTCCATGGTGTCCCTTCTCCAAGGAGCTGAGGGTCTAGTGCTCCGTCTGACAAGCTCAACAGACCATCTCTGACAGGACGACAGGCGGGCCCTGAGGCAGATCTTCAGTCGTGCCTGGGCAAGTCGGGAAAGACTTTCTAAGAAAGGCATACTTGGGACAGAGCATGTCTCTTTGAATACAGATTATTCTTATATTACTATTTGGGGATGCAGGTGAAATGGTGAAGAGCTCAAACCCCAAAATCAGTTACCTGGTTTGCGTCCAGATTCTTCTGCTTACAAGCTGTGTGTCTTTGGGCCCGTTTCTAACTCTTTCTACTCAAGTATCCTCATCTGTAAAATGGGGAAAATGATAAGATTTACCTCACAGGGAGCCCTGGTGGTGCAATGGTTAAGTGCTCTGCAGCTAATGAAAGTTTGGTGGTTCGAACTTACCCAGTGGCTCCACAGGAGAAAGACCTGGCGAGCGGCTCCTGTAAAGATTACAGCCTAGAAAACCCTTTGCGGCAGTTCTACTCTGTTAAACGTGGGGTCGCTATGAGTTGAAATCGTCTCAACAGCATTTAACAACAACGACAACCTCGCAGGGTTATTAGGAAGTTTTAATGCGTTAAAGCATATGAAACACTTGGCACGTACTAAGTGTTCAACTACGTAGCTACTGAGGTAAAATAAGAGTTTGGAAAGTTTAGAAAATAGAGAACCGAACAAATACCATCTGTAACTCACCCCCTCAGAATACCTGTTATAGTTTTTTTATATATTCTCTTAAGGTTCTTCTTTTATGAATGTTTTTACATATAAACTACAGTGCACATATAATTTTATATACATTCCCACTTAATAGCAAAGCGTTTAATGTTACAACGTAGCTTTTATATTTATGGTTTATAATAGGCAAGAAATGGACATTCCACGATACAGCTAGCCCTCGCCCTACTGATGAATATTTAAGTGGCTTCCAATGTTTCAGCACTATACAAAAGTGCTTACGTGAGCATATGTGTCTCATGATTTTTCCATCGTGTAAATTATTTCAATGAGATAGTTCTTAAATATCCAACTGGGTCAAGGTGTTGAATACTTCTATGCTTTTTCTTTTAAAATGCATGTTGCTAAATTTCATTTCCAAAGCGTTGTGGGTGTTTAATTGCACTAGAACGGCCCGAGAAAACTGGTCTGATTTTCACAGCCTTTGCTATTGTTGGCATTTTCTTCATCACCAGTGAGTTTCCCCCACTTACTTAAATGTTTCCCAATTCTATTTTGCTGAGATTTTCCATGAGCTTCTTGTTCCTATTTCTCGGTGGATGTCTTACATCGTTTTCCTCACCCGTTTGAACGAGTCCTTCATTCATTTCTCCTGTCTGCAGCTTGCCTTTCTATTTAGCTGGGTAGTAGCTCAGCAGCATAGTGTGGCCGTTGAGATAACAGTGTCTGGAGCAGAACTCTCTCAGTCCAAACCCGACTGCCACTTCCTAAGTGTGTGGCTGGGCAGGTGACTTCCCTGTAGATGGGAATGCTGTCAGCACCTATTCTCCTACGGCTGTGATGAGAACAGTCTGTGGGGTGTCCTCCTCGAATGCACGCCCGTTATCCCTGGGTTTGTTTTCACACAAGGGGCTGGTTTCTGAGGTGGGCAGGTGGGCAGAGTACAAGCTAAGCCCCTGGCACACTTCTCCCTCTCCAGGTGGTGGCCACGACGTTCCTCGTGATGATTGTCTTTGCCGTTTTTGACTCCAGAAACTGGGGGGTCCCCAGAGGTCTACAGCCTATTGTCATCGGCCTCCTGATTATTGTCATTGCTTCCTCTTTGGGACTGAACAGTGGCTGTGCCATGAACCCAGCTCGAGACCTGAGCCCCAGACTGTTCACCGCTTTGGCTGGATGGGGGTCTGATGTCTTCACGTAAGTAGGCAAGGGGGAAGGATGCCTGCTGTGCCTTATGGGGGAGGGTTGCGCTTTGACTTGAGGATCCAAGAGAGCTCATGTGGAGGGGAGATTAAGTATATACTGTGGTCCTAAGTGGAACAACGGCACTGGTGTTTTGTTTTATATGCATGAGTGTATGTGAGAGAGAGAGGAAGACAGAGGCAGAGACTGACAGACAGACAGAAAAAAAGAGTGAGAGAGAAAGCACGAGTGAATGATAGCTGGCTGGCTCCAGACCACTAGATGTAGGCCTGTGCCATATAATAATCCCTCAATTGTTATACGACCTTATGTGAATACTGTGGTCGTATAACTTGCCTACACATTCACTTCATGACAAAGTTGGGACTAGAATTTACATCTTCTGATACTATCAGAAGGGCTCCTTCCAGTGACTCATGCTACCTGTGCTTCATCCGTCCACTCATTCATTCAACGGATCTTTATTGAACATTATCTATGCTGTGGGCACCGTGCGAGGCAAGGAAAACTCTAGATGAAATGAAAGCTCACGTTGAGCAATGTATGAAGTGCCATGGAGCCCCTAAACCAGAGCACTGAGGGAGTGCGGACACGGGAGTGACTAACTCTGTGTGGGGAAGTCGGGAAGCATCACTGGAGAAGTGAGAGCTGAGTGGGGTCTTGAGGGATGGATGAGTAACAAATCCCTGGCTGAGCAGACATAAAAGAGAGCTTATACCCAGGAAACGGCCGACCCTATGCTTTCTACCTCAGATCATGCCGAGGAAATACGAAAACTGTTTGTTCCAACCCCCCAGGACAAACTTCCCCATTAATTCCTTCCCACTTTTCTCCCCCAAAAGTCACAGTGGCCCGTCTCCTTCCACTCATCACAGCTCTTTATGAGAAAGGACTGTGTTCTGGCTCATCAGGAAACAGGGCTACAATGTGAAGAAAGAGAAGGAGGAAAAACTCACTTGAGCAAATTGTTGAGAACAAAGGACTTAAATGGCCCTATAAGCCACCCTGTGCATATAGCCGTATTCATGTGAGAACTTTATTTAAATGAGAGTTTGGGTTGCCCTTCACTAGCATGGGAAGAAAGCTATTAAAATAATTGGTACCATTTAGATCACCACACAGACCTTGTCAAGAGCTTCTGGCATGTAAGCATCATGGGGACAGGGACTATAACAGCTTGTTCATTACTGTCTCCACAGGGCCTAGAACAGGGCCTGCACAGAGAAAGGGCTCAATAAACTAAGAGAATGAATAAATGCTATGTGCCAGGCATGTCTAGGAGGTGAGGGATTTGAAAGGAATTAAGCAACATTCTCTAGCCTCAGGGAATTAACTGTGCAATGAACTGTCTAGAACAATTGTTCTGCCAGAGATGACTTTGCACAGGGACATTTGGCAATATCTGGAGATACTTTTGAATGCCAAAACTAGGAGTTGCTACTGTCATCAAGTGGGTAGAGGCCAGGGATGATGCTAAACATCTACAATGCACAGGACAGATCTTCACAACAAAAAATTATCCAGCCCGAAGTGCCAGTAGTGCCAAGATTGAGAAACCCTGGGCTGGCATGCTCACCACTGCAACATGGAGAAGTTGAACAATGTCCCCAGTCAGGTAGGATCTCTTATACTCTCCCAATGGAGCATCAAAACATTTGCCCCAAAGAGTTTATTTCCAGAACCCAGAACTAGCCCATGAGCGTCCTTTAATCCTACCTGCCAGATTCTTGCTTAGTTAGGAGACCTCTTCCCCAATCACCTTCATACAGACCCTTGACAAGGATGACCAGGACGTTCTGGTCTCCCTCTGAGCCCACACTGCTGACTCATCCAGAGCCCTAAGAGTGACAGTGGTTCCCAAACAGGTAGAGATGCTGCCTGTTCTTTCTTTGATTTCTTAAGTATGTGGTAGAAGAACCCATGTCTGTGAGAGAAGGCTGGGGTCACCTAATGCCAAACCCTGGCCCCCATGTCCCTCATTATTGTCAGGGTCTTTTCCCTTCATGCATTCATTTATTCATTCATGCGGCTGCCTTATCTGTTGTTCAAGGCCCCTTGCTAAAGATGATAAAGACCCAGTTGCTGCCCTTCACTGGTTTATTTGTGTTCTGTTTAAGAGGAGATAACATAGGCTGAACAATGAATAAAGAAGACCGAAGAATTGATGCCTTTGAATTGTGGTGTTGGCGAAGAATATTGAACATGCCATGGACTGCCAAAAGAATGAACAAATCTATTTTGGAAGAAGTACAACCAGAATGCTCCTTAGAAGCAAGAATGGTGAGACTACGTCTCACATACTTTGGACATGTTGTCAGGAGGGATCAGTCCCTGGAGAAGGACATCATGCTTGGTAAAGTAGAGGGTCAGCGAAAAACAGGAAGACCCTCAACGAGATGGATTGACACAGTGGCTGCAACAATGGGCTCAAGCATAACGATGACTGTGAAAGGGCAGTGTTTTGCTCTGTTGTATGTAGGGTCATTGTGAGTCAGAACCTACTGGACAGCACCTAACAGCAACAACGTAGGCTCTTAACGCAAGGTTGAAACTATCAAGTGCTATTAGAGAAGTTTGGCTAACTCCAGCAGTTGAGAGAAGGTAGAACCCGCTCCAGCTCTAGGATATCCAGAGGTAGCACTTGGATATGCTTAACTGCGGGACTGAGAAGTTATCTCAGGCACAGAGGACCCAGTGTACAGAGACAGAATGTTAAAATAACAAGTAATCTCGTCTAACTGGAAAGGTGCATGAAAAAGATTGGAAAGGACAGTTGTTATCAAATCATGGAGGAGCTAGACTCCCAGAATGAAAAGTTTGGATCTGCTGCTCCCTCTTCTGTAGGATGTTGGGAGAAGCAAAGGATTCGGGGCAGAAATTTGACATGATAAACATACTTCACTTCAGCAAAAATAACCCAGCATCACTCTGTAAGATGGGTTGAGGGAAGAGAGGAGCAGAAATCAGTTAGAGGAGAGCTGGGCTCACTGGTAATCCTTGGTCAAAACCTCCCCAAAAACCTTCGAGGGGTAGCAGGCACCCAAAGTGCCCCTAGAATGCCTTATGTTTTCAGGGTCCCACATCAAGCACCTCCACAGATATCCTAGCTTGGATCCACATCCAAGGTCTCAGATAAAACCAAGATGGCCTCATTCTCAGGTTCTCACTGTCCCTGTGTGGCAACCAGTGAAGGATGAAAATGGAGAGTGGGCTCCAGGAGGTCTGATGGAATCAACAGAGCCTGGCCAACTCTTTCTTTTCCCTTAAATATTAGGGTGTTTCCTATCAAAGTTCTCTCCACTAATTCACGTTAAAGTGTCCATGGCTCAGTGGGTGAAGGATCTCAGAGGTATTATTAATTTTTAAAAATAGTTTCCCTAAAGGACTGAATCTCTAATGATGGTACTTTAGACAATTGACACAGATTTTCCTGGCATCCCTCAAATCCTAGCATGCAAATGACCACTAACCTGTGTGCAGGTTAAGACTGGCCCCAGGCAGGTAACCACAGCTAAGCTCCTAATTTGTGACTTGTGTTGTGACCCTGGCACAAGGTGTTCAGCCCCGGAAAAAGAAGGGGGTTCAGCCAGTGAAAGGAGGACATCGGTCCTGGCAGGCACTTGGGTCTTAATCTGTTAAATGACAGTGATTATAACGTAGAGATGGAAGAAATGAAATGGGGGGGGGGGACCAGAGAGGGTAGCTTCTCCTCACTTCTCGTGACTGCCTCCAGACAAGGCTCCTAGTTCTCTCAAAGCCAGATGGGAGTGTCAGCCACTCACAGAAAAGTCCGTCTAGATTTGGGGGCTTGGGGAAGGGGGCTATGAGAGCTGCCAGCTGCACCTTGCCCTCTGCCACGCAGTAAGAGTGACATCTGGTGGCCGCTGTGCATGATCACAATGCTATTCCATGTGACGTTTATGAGAGGACTAGAATTATTCAAAGTGGTGCAAACTGTTAACGCGCTCAGCTGCTAAACAAAAGGTTAGAGGTTTGAGTCCATCCAGAGGCACCTCGAAAGAAAGGCCTGTCCATCTACTTCCCAGAAATCAGCCATTGAAAACCCCACGGAGCACAATTCTACTCTAACACGGGGTCAGAAGGCAACTGGTCAGGATCATCCAGGTGGAAGGGACCCTGCAGATGGAGGAACTGAAGCTCAGAGAGGGTGGTCACTTGCCCAAAGACCTTTTAGGTAGTCCTGCAATTGGACTTAGTCTCAGGAATTCTAGGACAGGGCTCTTGTTTTTTTATTTCTTTTATTATCCTTTCTAATCAAAATCTGATTAAAAAAAAGGCAACAGGGAGCATATACGTAATTATGAAACATAATGACAAAGAGAACAGCCACGTATCCCTGCCCTAGCCAGGACGCTGTCAGCTCCTCACATCTGTCTGTGTGCCCCTCCAATCCCCTGCTCCCCGTTATCCTGGTGTTTGTGTTGATCATTCCCCTGCTTTTTAAAAATAGTTGTATCTCAAATGTCTATATCCTGAAACAATCTACTGTATAGTTCTGCTGGTCTCTGAGCACTCAAGTTTCTTTACACTGAATTATTTAAACGTATTTCCCCTCTCCAAACAAAACATGCCAAGAATTCACTGAGGCACTGTGTTCCCCTAGAACCAGACCTTTAGTTTCTGGACGAGAGAAAACCATGGCGTGAAAGCCTTATCAGAGAATAACTCTGAGCTGTGACCTCAGAAAGTAAGCACAGATCTAAGATGCTTTTTAGGTAACTCATATAACCACTTTTGATTTTTTTTTAATTCCTTCATTCTTACCACAAACATTTCCTTTTGCTTTATTTTGTGATTTTCCTCATAGGCCAGTGATGTCCGGGGATCTCCCCACATCCTGAATCTTCCCACTTCCTGCCTCCTTTTCATTCCTAATTCCCAGGCATCGTTATTTCAGGAGGAAGGAGAGGCGATTCCTCATTAACTGACCTGAACTTACCGTAAACGCTGTCAGTCTTCACCACGATTTCTGGGGCCATATTTCCTGAAAGGAAAAGAAGCGGGATGAGTTATCTCACAAGTACTAATAGGACAAAAAATAAAAATAGAAACCAAACCCACTGCTGTGGAGTTGAATTCCGACTCGTAGCAACCCTATAGGACAGAGTAGAACTGCCGCACGAGGTTTCAAGGCTGTAATCTTTCTGGGAGCAGACTACCACATCTTTCTCCCACAGAGCCGCTGGTGGGTTCAAACCGCTGACCTTTCGGTTTGCAGCTGTGCACTTAACCACTGTGCCACCAGGGCTCCTGACAATGGGGTAGATCATCTGAAGTCAGGAGTATACTGGAACTTCTAGGACGGTGGTTGCCAAGCTACAGTGAATACCCTAATATGTCACTCTCACTGAGTTAAAAGGGAGCTGTGAGCATGAGAAAGACTAGCTGCTTAGTGAATAACCAGAGTGTAATACTTGGAGGAAGGTGGGTAACAGATGACTACTTTCTTGTGTGATTTCAGAGCTGGAAATAACTTCTGGTGGATTCCAGTAGTGGGTCCTATGGTTGGTGCCATCGTTGGAGGACTCATCTATGTTCTCATCATTGAGATCCACCACCCAGACCCCGACACGGGCCTCACGGCACAGCCGTCGAAGGACCAAGCGGAGAAATATGAGCTCAGTGTGGTGATGTAGTGACATGTTCACTTCTTGACTCGTAACTGGCTGAGCTGGTCATCTCTTCAGGAAAGACGGCATCCACGAGTCTGTGTTTTCATAAGACTGGGGTGGAATCTGCCCAATTTTCTCTACTGGTCACGTAGGACACCTGATTGGATAAGCATCAGAGTGAAGGTTTGAAGTCACTGACCTGTTCTCTACTGGGTTTCCCCCGAATAGCACTGATTGTCCGCTGAATCAGCCTGCCTTCCTGCCCTTTTTACTCTTTTGGTGGGAATCCTTACTCCTGGATGAACACTAATAGCTTGGAATCTTGACCATGGACTTACTTGGAGGTCCTGCTGCTTACTGGTATGAAGTCGAGCCACCAAAAGTCTTGTTTTCAATATCCACTAAGATTACATTCTGAGCACCAACCAAAACCTAAATTGAAAGCTAAAACCGTGGCTTCAGTTAACAGATCGGTGAACTGGGGACCAATGGGTTACTGCCCTTGCTGTGTTCTGCCACCGTACTTATATGAACACTGATAGTCTCCAAACCGAGGGGTACAGGAAGCTGCAGAATGCAGCTGGAAAACTAGGAGAAGGACATTGTGGCACTCAGAAAACGCAGGAGACAAGATAAATTTGGGAAACCAGATAGGATTTTTTTAATAGACACCATTTATCAGATTGATATCTTGCTCTTCTGCATTTTAGAGGGCAGCAATTAATTTCCTGGTCTTTAGCGTATAATAGCCTATAAAATATAATCGTAACCTCAGTCATGAAAAATACATCACTCTGTATTTTTACCTCAAATGTATTTTCCTAATTGCCCACTTGAGGACAGACACTGGCAAGTTAAGTCAATGGCTGTTTTCACCCATTGTTCTACACTTGTTCTAGAAGCAAAAACAGACACTGTTGAATCCTGGTCTAAGCAAATCCTCCGGATGGGAGTCCCTGGAGAGATAATGTTACCTTAATGGGCTTTACAATTCGCAAAGCACTTTCACACATATTATCTAATTTAATCCTCACGAGGACCTCCTGAGGTAAATACAATGCTGCCCAGTTTTCAAACGAGGAGAGGAATCTCAGGGAAGCTACGTGAATTGCCCAAGGTCACATGGAAGGTTGAAGAGTGGTTAGTGCATCTCGTTCATACCTGGTTAAGAATCTTTGTCAGCCCTTCTTGGCTGGCCACAAAAAGTGGGACTGACAGCTGCTGGATCATTTACACCTTCTAGAGACAACGCTCCGGGACCCCAAGATATAAAGACTCACAGTCTGGTTTTATTCCCGCCATTACTAAATCAGTAACAAGGGAAAGAGGTAGTAATCTGATCATATTTTTTATCTGCTGGGAAAAACAATCAGAAATCCTCCCTTCCTAGGCTACTCTTAGTCTGGCTAAGTCTTAATCTTCCTTCCCTGCCAAACCCAAACATTCCATTCTGGGAATTTCCTCTTGGGCAGGATCTTCCCTGTGAAGTTCTCTAATTGACTCTGCTTTGGTCAAGAGAGTTTCTGTAAGTTACAAATACCAGAACTTGGGACCAAACCCCCTGAGAGCTGTGGGAACCGCTCTACAAGTGGTGTACCTCAGCCAACCTGAGCCTGGCATTCCCAGACCCATCGGGTTCCCCAGCTGCTATGTGATAACAGACCAACAAAAAGCCAATGTAAAATGCTTCCAATAGGCTTATGCTCTACAGTCTATGGACATACAGAATTTTATTTTCCTTGCTCTAAATATATTTCCTGGATATTTCCTTTTTGAAGTAAAATTATTGCTTTTTTGAGTATTGATAAGTATGAAGACTGCTAAGTACACTTAGTTCAGAGGGTGTCTACCCTGTCTACAAATTGAAATCTCCTGGGGAGCTTTTAAAATATACTAATGCCCAGTGGGTCCTTTGTAAATATTTCATATGACTCTCTAATGTGCAGTGAAAGTTGAGAATGTTGACTTGGTTGAATCACGTGGGTCAAAGGATCTTTTGAGAATCAAGTCTTGTGGCGGCCAGGTAATTCCTGGTGGGATTCTTGGAGTCTTGGGATCCTCATGGATTAGAGCAGAGGTTTTCAACAGGGGTGATCCTTCCCTCCTCCCAGGGGACATTTGGCAATATCTGGAAACATTTTTGATTGTCACAACTTGGGAGCGGGGGCAGGTGGTGCTACTGACGTTGAGGGGTAAATGCTGCTGAACATGGTACAAGCACAGGATAACCACCGACAACAAAGACTTCTCTGGCCGGAAATGTCAACAGTGCAGAGGTTGAGAGACCCTGGCTTCCAGGAAAGGTGAGCAGAGGAGCCAGAGAGGACGCGGAACTCCTACACCTCGATTCAAGCTCTGCCAGGAGCTGAGATGCCAAACCGACCAGGAGCAGACCCTGGGGGTGAGTTGCAATTCTTAGAGAAGAGACAATCCAATCTGCGGTCCACTCAAGCGCTCTTTAAACACTACGTGATGATTAATGGTTAGGATTATGAAGAGGAAACGTGCACGCATGGAAAGGAATCCCAGGAAGAGATCTTTAAAATGGAAAAAAAGGTCCTCTTACTCCAGGTGCCTGCATACAAGTTCCTGCCTCCCCCGCTCCTCCTGCCCACTTACAAGAATCTGCCTATGTCAGGTTCTCACCCAAGAGAATGTTTATGAGGTTGAATTATCTGTTTCGGAAGCCGATTAGACAGAGCCAACTAACCTATTTTTTAAATAGCTCTTTTGAGAGTTAGATTTGAAGTTCCCTCTACCTCCCCTTCGTCAGTGGAAAAACTTGATAGGAGCATTTCTCTTAATGCGACAAAATAGAATTTTTGTATGATTCCCCCAACTATTTAAGATACCAGCGCGTGTGAAAAATGGCAGAACTTTTCTAAATAGCGACACCAGAGTCAATATTCAGCTGTTGAACAGCGTAAGCAGAGTAAAAATGTCACATTTAAAAAATCTGATCCTTAAAATGTAAATTAGTATTTACACACACACACACACACACACGCACACACAGTTATCTTATTTTAAATGTGTGTCAGTGCTCAAAAATACTGTGATGAAAAGAGAATTACAACATCCAGTTATAGAGAATGGTTTATAAATTGTATTTAGCCACAGAGCCTACTGTTCAAATAAAATTGTATGTGGTACCCACAAGAAAACTAGAGCTGCTAGGAATAAAGAGGGGCTGAGGTGAGGGGTCAGAGTCTCATCCTGCTCGTGACATTGTCTTACCCACCCCCAATGCAGCCCCTGAGCTGTCTCTGAAAAGAAATTGGATGGGGGGGCAGGGATCTTCAGGACATAGTTTCACAATTTGAAAACCCCTGGTAAAGGGCTTGAGACAAGTTGTTGATGAACATTTTTGTAAAAATTTCACAGATAGAACCTACCGAAGACCATATTAGTTCAACCTCAGGTAATTTTCTGAAGTTTTCCTAACAAATGAATTAGATAGGTTAAACAGAATTAGTCAACCTACCGAGCTTCAGTAACAGATGTTCTACATCCGTTCTTCAACTGGGAGTACGTGTTCTCTGAGATAACGCGTTTAGGAACGTGGATGTGGAGAGAAGCGATGTCAGGCTGGCTGCGTTGACTCTCTAAGATTCTGTAAAAATAATACGTAGATAGATCAAGCTCCAACATCTCTCTAAAAGAGTAGCTAGAAATGGGGTAGCTCTTATCCACGAGATGCTGTCCATGGATTGATGAGAGAAAGCAGGCCCCCATGTACACAGATCATGAATCCGAAAAGCCCAGTCAGTTCCCGTCCAGTTGATTCTGCCTCATGGCAATCCCATGTCTGTCAGAGTAGAAATGTGCTCCATAGGATTTTCAATAGCTGACTTTTTGGAAGTAGATCGCCAGGTCTTTCTTCCAAGGTGCCTCTGGGTGGACTTGAACTTCCAAACTTTCAGTTAGCAGCCAAGCACATTAACCATTTGCACCACCCAGGGAGTCCAGAATATGAATAAATGAAGCAAATTAGCCAGGAGAAACCATCTGTGGATGGAGATGCTGTCTTTCCCTAACCATGGACTGGCTCTGTCTTCCTCCAGGGCCGCGGATATCTTTCATGGACCCTAGGCACTTTCGCTTTCCTGGGCCCCTTCTCTCACACATACATATACAACAAAATTAAAAATTATATTTCATGGTGTATCTTTGGCTATGTATATTTTCACCAAAAAAAAAAAAAAATGGTTGACAAGGGAGAGGGTTGACATGTTGTGGGGTTGTTAACCAATGTCATAAAACAATACGTGTACTACTGTTTCATGAGAAACTATTTGTTCTGTAAGCCTTCACCTGAAGTACAATTAAAAAAAAAAATTTTACTTGCATGTAAAAAAAAAATTATATTTCATGACTGCATTCGTGTAAGGCAGAATATAATCCAAGCTGGATTATATTCATTTTTCATTGTGATTTTAGAAGAGATGAAAACCTTCTCATGGGCCTCTGAAAGTATTGTGGGCCCTAGACACATGCCTACTGGATAACTCAGCCTGCTCACACCTCCTCCCTCCAGCCTGCCCTCTGCTCTCCCAGAGCTCGGTCACACTGCAGCATCTTCCTCCTTGAGCCCCTCACCTCCCTGCCCATGGGGATTCAGGAAACAGGGCTGAGGGCAGACTGACCCGTGAGTGGGGATGGAGACTGCGGAGAGCCTTGGGTGCCCTGGAGGTTGTGAGGGACATTCCAGAGCCCAGCCCACGGCCAAGGGGACCGTCCCTGGCTTGGCCCCCTCCTCCTCCTCAGGCACCCAGCAGAGACAAGAGGCAGGAAAGGGGCTTCCTGAGAAAGAAGGAGCCAGGTCCTGCAGCCTGGGCACACCAGCTCAGGAGACCCTGTAGCTTCATTAGCACATCGTTCTTGCATAATGTTTCAGTTCACAAATCATAACTCTCAGGATGGTCCAGCGGGTTACTGTCCCCATTCTAGAGATTAAAAAACCAAGGCTCAGAGTGAAGAGCGGTGGAGGTCTGAGGCGTCACCAACAGTCCCAGTTCTCCTGAGACTCAGTGGTTTCCAGGACACGGGACTTTCAGTGCTAAATCCGGGACGAGCTTGTCACCTGCGTCTGAGTCAAGTCAGTGCACACCCCACCATTGGGCCTCCTCCCAGGATGAAGTTCTTCCTTAGGCTTCTGATCCCCCAGCGGATAAAATATTCTTCGTTTAACTTGACAGAATTAAAGAATTTCTTCATTTTTAGTGTCAAACAATTACAAATGTTAATAAATGGTTTGAGAGTGGCACAGCCGTTAAGAGCAGGTTGCTGTTACTTGCCATTGAGTCTACACCTAGTCATGGCAACATCACAAGTAACAGAACAAAATGTTGCCCAGTCCTCACCTAGGCTATTCGTTAAAATTCTGTCAGCTCCACCTTCAAAGTCTATTCCCAGTTCAACCTCCTCTCACCGATGTCCCTAGTCTAAGCCACTATCAGCTCTCCCTTGAGTTTTAGAAAGTCTCCTGACTGATCTGCCCGCCTTACCTGCTCATCACTTTACAGCCTGTTATCAACATAGCAGCCTCCGTGATCCTTAGATAAGGGCTTGCTGCTGCTCAAAACCCTCTAGTGACTCCTGCCCCCTCAGAGTAAATGCCCCAAAGGCCCCTGTGATGGGTAATTTTATGTGTCAACTTGGCTAGACTATGATTCTCTGTGGCCTGGCCAGACACTGGACTGGTTGCTGTTCCTTAACATAATGTAAGGTAACGTAACATAATGTAATCACGTTCCATGATGTGAGCTGATGTTCTCAAACAGTCAGTTGAAAGGAGAGTTTCCTTGGAGGTGTGATCTGCTTCCAGAATACAAGAGGATATTCTGGCATAGTTCAATCTCTCACTCTCTTTTGACCCTGCACACTTCTCATTGCCTGACCTATAGATCTTGGGATGTAAACCTGCAGAAGTCTCTGGCCTGCCACCTGACCTATGGATTTTGGATCTGCCAGCCCCGCAATTGCCTTAGCCAATCCCTTGAGGTGCATCTACCATGTACCTCTCTCTCTGTCTGTCTATGTCTCACTGGCTTTTCTCCTCTACAGAACCCAAACTAAGACAGCCTCCAAGGCATCATGGGCTCTGACCCCCCTGGACTCATGCCTGTGAGTGCTCTAGCCACACAGCCTCCTTCCTGATCCCTGGACCCACCAAGCAAGCTCCTGCCACAGAGCTTTTGCACTTGATGTGTCTCTTGCTTGAAATTCTTTACCCCACCTCCTTCAGGTCTCTGCTCAGATGTTTCCATTGTTAGTTACACTTTTCTGAGCACCCTGTTACTCCCCATCCAATTCCTTGCTTCATTTTCTCCATATCACTTATCACCATCACTAAAATACAGATGTTATATATTTGCTGGGTTTTGTCTGTCTCCTCCCACTGGAATAAGAGCACCACAGGGTCAATACTTTTCTCTCTTGTATCCACGATTGTTGCCCCATGCCTGGAACGTGGTTGCTGCTCAATAAATACGTGTTGAATGAGTGAATGGATTGATTCTAGAGTCAGACTCTCTGAGTTCAGATCCTGTTTCCTCTACTTGCTAGCCCAGTAGCCAAGTTACTTAGCCCCAGTTTACTCATCTATTAAGTGGGAATAATAAAAATGAGATAATCAATGTAAAGCTTTTAGAACAGTTCAAAGCTCACAGTATGTACTCAATAAATGTGAACTCTGAGTTCTGCTGTTGTTGTTATTACTAATGCCATTATAACATGTTGTACCTTAAAAACACACAAGATCATTAGAATTTGGTTACTCTCCATAATTTTTTTTTATTGAGCTTCAGATCAAGGTTTACAGAACAAACTAGATTCTTAGTAAACAGTTAGTACATATATTGTTTTATGGCATTAGTTAACAACCCCATGACATGTCAGTACTCTCCCTTCTCGACCTTGGGTTCCCTATTACCAGCTTTCCTGTCCCCTCCTGCCTTCTAATCCTTGTCCCTGGGCTGGTGTGCCCCTTTAGTCTCTTTTTGTCCTATGGGTCTGTCTAATCTTTGGCTAAAAGGTGAACCTCTGGAGTGACTTCATTACTGGTCTAAAAATATGTCCAGGGGCCATACTCTCTCTCCATAATTTAATAGCTCTAGCTTTCACGTACATTTCAGAAACTGTATTTTAAGTACCTAAGAATTCAGTTAAGTGTTTTTGAACCTTTAATGATGTCAGTGGGATTGTCTTAATTTTTTCTTATTATGGAAGGTTTTTTAAATATACAATCATAGACAGAACGGAGTCCTGGTAGTGCAGTGGTCAAGAGATCGGCTGCTAACCAAAAGGTCAGCAGTTTGAATCCACCAGGCACTCCTTGGAAACCCTGTGGGGCAGTTCTATTTTGTCTCACAGGGTTGCTATAAGTCGGAATCAACTCGACGGCTACGAGTTTATTTTTTTATTAGGAGTCCTAGGTGAAGCAAAGGATAAGTGCTAGACTACTAACTGAAAGGTTGTCTGTTCAAACCCACCCAGAGGTGTCTTGGAAGTAAGGCCTTCAATTCCTTCAAAGTAAGGCCTGGTCAAAGTCATAGCCTCAAAGACCCCACGGAGCAGTTCTACTCTGCATATATGGGGTCACCATGAATTGGAATCGGCTTGGCAGAAACTAACAACAACAACAGTTCATGTAGTCTTACTTAATTTAGTCCTTTGAAAATATAAAGTATTTTGAAATTATGATAATATAAGTTAATGCAAAAGTGGCACAATACTTCCAGGTCCCAAACTTTGCATGGAGGACAAAGCCACCTACTGAAATCACCTGTATCCATAGGGGATCTTGATGGCCCTCAGCTGGCTGCTGTCATGTGGTGATGTTCTGAAAATAAGACTCTGATCTAATAGGTGGTATAGTTATATCCAAAAATCACCTCTGTGTATTACAGAGAAGAAAGGCCATGCATGCACTGCCCGTCCCGGAGCCTAGAACCAGGGGCAAGGGATTGATGTTTGTTGCTGAACCAATGACTTTCAGGAGAACCCAGGTGAGACCCTGAAGGAAGCCTGTGTGCACACGTGTTGGAGACTGTGAGGCTAGTGATTGAGAGCTTGAGCTCTGGAGACAGCCAGATTGAATTTCACCCATGGCTGAATAGCCGTGTGACCCTCTACACCTCGGTGTCCTCATCCATAAGGTGGGAATGATAACAGCACGTGCTTTCTATGGGTTGTTGGAAATATTGAGAAAATGCCTGTGAAACACTTCACACAGTGCTTGGAATTTAATTTCGTCTCAGTAAGTGTCAGCTCTTCACAAGCTCAGCTGCTCATCGTAAGGTTGGCTGTTTGAGTTCACCCAGAGGAGCATGGTGATCTATATATGAAAAACCAGCTACTGAAAACACTATGGAGCACAGTTCTGCTCTGACACACATGGGATCTCCATGAGTTGGAATTGAATCCACGACCACTGGTGGTGGTAGAATCCTATTATTATTTCACATTTACAAATTCAGCCGTCTATCCTGATTTGCTTACATATAAGAATTTGAAGCTGAAGACAAATGTCCTGGCGTATAAATTTGCTGGCACTTAAGTAATCCTATTCATATGACCGACTTAGATTTGACTGTTCTCTTAATAGACTTGAGGCCCAATGAACCTGCACAGGGCCATGTTTAGTTTGTGAATTTCAGAGTTTAGCTTTGACAAAGAAATTAATGAAATTATTTAGTTGCCTAATGGCACTGCCAAAGTAATCCAAAAAATCTATCAAAAAATAAATCAAAGGAGTTCCGGCAAAATGGCTCTCTAGGCAGAAGCACCACGCCGTCCCTCCACAGCAAAGATCTGAGAAACTAAACCCAACAGAGAATACTACAATCCTGAAACCCTAAAACATCAAATGAAGAGATAAAGAACTCAACCAAGCACCAAATGGAGTGAGAAACTGACAGAGAACGGAGAGTGAGGAGAGATTCATGCAGAGGTTCCCTACCAGCTAACGCAGTGCGGATCCACCATCTTGGAATCCTATCGGAAACCGGCAAACAGGGGGTACGAGAAAGCAGCCTCACGGAGCATCCAGCGGGAGACAAAACAAGCGGTAATTTGCGATGTACACTTTCCCACCCCCCACCTTTCTTCACCCTGACTCTGCCTCCCCTGCCTACCGTGGCCACAATCTCTTGACTGGGAAACACCGGCTGCTTGG